CCAGTAGGAGTAGAGGGAGAAGATAAATTCACTTCCATGAGAATTTCAAGTTCTTATCCACACCTTTCTGAAGGCAAGAAGATAGAAGCAGAAAAACTCGTATTAGTGCTTCAGTGAGTTCCCCGCACTGGCTATACATTGAGGATTTTCAACCAAAAACTCAGTCTTGTCTGAAATGACCCTGGTCTTTCCTCCAGGACATTTATTTGCCTAGGCAGCCTGAAATTCTGCCTTTCATATGGCAGGATCCTACACTGCATGACCACTTCAGGCTCTTTGCTGAGGTTTCTTTACTTATCAGACGGTTATTTTCTGTCTTCAAATCAAACCACCAGTGGATGTAGTTACCTGGAAATTATTCTCCCTCTTGATAAATATAGGATCTCCACAGCTTCTGTAAAAATGGCCTAACTGGGCTGAATGAGAAAATCTAGAGGTAGACATCTGGGCCTATTGAAGGCAATGGCAGAATTCACCTGGACCTGAGAAAGACAGGGTTACGATCTGGATATATTCAGTTATCCTGAAATACTGGGCTGCCTTAAACCAGATTAGCCTTTGAATCAGGAGTGTATACATCTGTGCGCCTGCTCACACACTAACAAAGCACTATTGTTTCCTGCAATTCTCACTTTTCTATGGTCTTGCAGAAATTCTCTGTTGTATGCCAGTAACTTCCTCCTGCCAGGAATCCCTGCTTTGCTCAAAAAATATATTCATTCTTTAAGCATTGATGAAGTGGAATCATAGCTTGGTTTTCTGAAACCAGGTCTGCCAGCCCTGTATGGGTGATTCAGACACACATACTCTCTTTCAAAGGGCAGTGCACATACAAGTGACATTCTTATATATAATGCAGTATGAAACACAGAAAACTAAAATAATAATGGAATATTTGAATATTAGTGAAATTAAATGCTTTAATCCACACTTGTCCCTCCTTTTAGAAAATGTTGTAATTTTTTGTCCATGACCTGCTGATATGTGGATGTGGCACTTCAGGACATGGTTTAGGGGACATGGTGGCGCTGGATTAATGGTTGGACTTGACGATCTTGAAGGTCCTTTCCAACCTAGTGATTCTGTGATTCTGTGTGATTCTGTGATAATTCAAAACCCTTTGTGCCCTAAAAGGACATATGCCTCCTACTGCGCTCCAGGCATAAATTTAGCAACAACCAACCATTAGTACCACCCTGTCAGGTACACACTGCAAGTCAAGTGACCCTAGAATGTGTCAAGCGACCCTAGAATGTGTCAAGCATCACCTCCTTGCAGATCTGCAGGCATCCAGCCGGTATCACTCTGGCCCTTCCAAAGGTCTATGTACGTAAACCATTTACCTTTCTCACTCACCTGGGCTGTTGTTAGTTAACCCATTAGATCACATTATTAGTGATGCCAAAGGGTGCAAGGAAGAAAACCAGCAAGCCAATCAGTTGGGTACTATGTGAAGCTTTGACGCTGCATGAAGCCAGAACTCATATTATTTGAATTTTTAGCAGCTTGACAGCTGCTGTTCAGAGGCTCATTGGCAGCTGTTTGGCCAGCAATATGCCGCTGCTTTGCTTCTAGTCCACGTTGTCTGAATCGAAGGAGATCTGAGTGACAGTGTTGACATAAGTCAAGCCAGCAGCTTAGAGGGCAGGCAAACCTTGTAGGACGCATCAGTCTCTTGGGTATTAACCAATCATCTACTTTTTTACTTGAATCTGTGTAGAATGCACTTTTTCCTCCCTTGGTTTCTATAATACACCTCCCAGGCATATGTTGTCTGCATTAAACCGTCACAGCAACGGAGCCAATTACTTGGCTTTCATACAAGACTATGGACACCCTTGCTGTCACTACCAGAAGAAACAGGTAAAAAATATAATGAATAGGCCCATGTTTCCTTTCCAGTTCTTTCAGAGCCTTTCTGTAGGCTTGGTTCTCTAAGCTCCTGAAGCTTGTGGCTCATTTTCTCATGCAGAGATACTGACCTAACCTTGTTTCTCCAACAAGCTAGCCCCTCAAGTATTCTTTCCCTTTCCTCCATGGTTTGTCTCTCTCTCTCTCTCTCTTCTGCTTTGTTTCCCAGACAAATTCAGGAACGAAACTGCACAGCTCTAGAGGGTTGCCTTCCACCACCTGGATTCTTTGTTCTGCCTTTGTCCACCTTTCTGCTCTCCTTCCTTTGCCAGACAGGACTGACAAAACTGGTTCTCGCTCAGGCTTTAGTTAATCTCCTTGTCAAAAGGAAATAGGATTCATTCTAGAACTGACTCCTGTGACTTGCTGCAATCATGGCCCCTTCCAGTGCCGTAAATAAACACAAGCTTAAGGCTAAATCTTAATAGTCCTCATTAAGTATTTAATGACTGACTCATTTCTGGTCTGTGAGGAACCTTACTAGCAGTGCTGGGTACATGTTTGCACAGAGATAGCCACAAAATACTAGAGATACATAGCAAATTCACCAGAAAGCAGCACTTCTAGACACACATCCCCTTCACAGTCACATCCTGCTTCCAGTTACACCTATTCAAATCCCAAAGGTGAAATTGTGGTGCAAAAATGGAATGCCAATACATTCACAGGCTCACAGGACCACAGGATAATTCAGGTTGGAAGGGACTGCAGGAGGTCAGCCATGAGGCTCAAAGCTTTATCCCATCTGGTTTTGAATCCAGATGGATCCAAATACAGTTTTGGATCCAAATACAGTTTTGGACGTACACAGGTGTAGCAGAAAGTACAATACCTCTCTGGGTCAAAGTTAAATGCCAAGATGGTAAAATAAGCCTCCCACTGTTCTATTTTCCAGTGGAGATTTGATTTTAGTACAGTTCTCAGTCTGAGGTCCAGGTTCTTTCGATGAGCTTGCACGGCATGATGCTTATTGCTCTACTTTGCCATGAGCAGAAGACACTGGTGTGGTGTGCTGGAAGTAGTCTCCATGACAGTGACAAATTGCTCACAAGGCAAATCATCACTAGAAGACCACCACTGCATTACCACTTTGCTTTTCTCTGGGGATATATAGGTAAATAGACATGCTGTAACATGAAAAGCTAAGAAATACTGACTAAATAACAAAGTAAGTCTAGTGATTCTTAAAATGTAAAAGAAAATCCATGTACTGGACCAGAAGCCCTGTGAAACAAGAGTCCTCCCACTTTAATCCATCTTCTGCAAGGTGCTGGAAGAGGTGGTCCAGGCTAGTCCTAGGCTTATACAATACCAGGAACCAGCAGAAATGCTAAAAGTTATGAATGTCCTCTGGAATCAACTGCTTGATTAGCAAAGGACAGGGACCTCCAGCTATAAAAATGTTCAAAGCTGCTCTTCCCACACTACTGTCTTGGTACTATCTCAAGACACATGCTGTTAGTTAAAAGCACATGCAACTGGCAGGGTTCAGTTCCAAGTTCAGACACGTAAATTTAGGTGTCTGACTATAAGTGTCTATATATGCCCTTGTAGCTCAATTCAGTTGTCTAGATCTTGAGTGTTGTTTGAGATGTTTTATGACAGTTAATGTCCAATGGGTAGCCCAGTAGAGTGTTGGTCTCCCATTGGACCTTTGAACATCAAGAAGGTGTCTCAATATTCTAAGATGCCTGAAGTTGGACTAGACATCCATGTCTAGGCAAGTGAGCAGCGGCTTAGTCTACATTGTCATTATTTAGTGAGGATCTCCTGAAAACAGCCAGTAGAGCCTAGACAGTGATTTGACTTAACCTAAACAGACACTTATGTTTCTTCAGCATTAATTGAATCCTGCCCTTAGTGTCATTTCAGACACCATGGAGCATTGGAGATACCTGCACAGGGTTAACAAATGTGACATATAGGAGATTTGTTACCTTCTGGACCAGCAGCTGCAGACTAGGAAGGGCACCCTAGGGCACTGCTTGCCTTCAGCCAATCAAATAGAGTCCCCATTGTATTTTATATCACAGGCAACCTGTCCTGGACAGTTGTGCTGCTCAGGTAACAACCTCTTAGTCATGTTGTTATCCTCCTAGTAGGCTCCTGTGAAAAAGCTTTATCAGCTTTGACATATACAGGATTTCCATGTGTCCTCCCATGGCCTTCAGTGATAGCATCCTCATTGTTGCTTTGAAGCATTCTCCTGGCTTGTAGGGTTTAGCCATGTCCCTAGAAAGTGTGGTCGCTTCTCTTAAAGACATATGTATGCTTGGACACTCTCAACTGAGAGACAACATAGATACCTCATAGCTTCTGTCTGCCACATTTTAAGTGAGTTTTAGACTGGTATGAAAGTGGACACTTAGTTCCATCCCCAGAATGTGCATTTGCAAAGCATTTGGAGTCATTTACTGATAGAATCGATGAAAATCACTTCTAGCAAGACTTTCTGACTTGTGATAAAACGCCTATGTGTTGAAGATAAAGAAAGACTTTTTATCCAGCCTTTGCATGTTTAGCTCCACCATGAGTGGAAGATAGACAGATTTGTAGATATACACCTTGAGCATAAAGGAGACACACAGTAGAAAGGAGACAGACTTTTTCCTGTATTGGACATTAAAACACTTCTTCATAAAGTTTTTCTTTAACTCAGACTGCTCCTTGCAGGTTTCTCTGCTTCTTAATTTCACATACTTAATTTCACTCTTTTAGGCCATCTTAGGGAAAGGAGAGGCTTGAGGACTTACACCAAAACAGATAGATGGGGTTAGAGACGTCCAGGAATTCTGCTGTGGATATCCCAGAAAATGGCTATACAGAAGGAATAATTCTTCAGTCAGAAGCAGTTCAATCCAAATATCCATTACAGTTGAACTATTAAACTTACAACCATTCCCAAGTCTTTGAATTTGCCACGCACAGTTTTCCCTGAGCAGAGAAGTCATGAGCAGTTAACACCTCCTATTTTAGGCTTATGCAGGAACCTCTTACATGATTTCTGGTCTTACCCAAGTTATTAAATTCCACCAAAGTGCTGCTGTAGTGCACAAAAGTTGATCTGAATGTAGGTTTGTGAGGTTTGGCTATAAGACACATTTGGCTAAAAAATGGAAAGGCGTATGAATTACTCTGAAAAATGAGCAGGGAAGAAACTGGGCATTCATGCTTTTCAGCAAAGTTATTGATGGTATATTCGTCTCCAGGACATTACCCTGTGCTGGAAAGCCACAGCTATGTAATTTCTTAGCTAAAGTAGTAGCCACAAGCCTGCTATAACCCTTCCTCCGATGCTCTGGAAGAGTATAACCATGAATCATGGTGGCGAACTGATCCGTCAGGCTCCAGGAGAGGGGACACCCATTATCATCCAAGACACAGACACTGGGGAAGCAGCAAATGAGGTTAGCAAGGTACTTCTGGCTCCTTGGGTTGCCCCCCCGTGACCAGGTTTTGCTGAGCAGGCCGGCGTGGGAGATGTCCAGGTAAGTCAGTGTTAAATTAGGGTCCATCCTAAGAGACAGTACAGAAAGTGTATTAGGCAGAAAGCTCTGCCTCATATTCTCCAAGGAACTGCATTAGATTTAAAGCTGTATTCTTCAGCCACATAGATTTCCAAGTCTGTATCAAAAAGGGGAATCAAAGAGAGCTGAGTTCATTAGGCTGGGGGGTTGGGAATAATTATAGAGAGCAGTGCCACTCCATTTTATTTTATATATCGTATATATGATATATATCTAAAATATTAGTATATATATGTTTATATATCTTTGTTTACATAAACTCTTGAGTCCATACCGCACACTCCAGAGATGCCTTATTCCTTACAGGAAGAGTGGAGAATACATTAAGGAAGGCAAGGAGCCCCAGTGACATATTAGGTGGCACTGGAGAATGGAAAGGATTTAATTTCCAGTCTCTCATCCTCCAAGACTGATAGATTCTCTCTGGATTTTTGAATCCACTGCTGAGAAATTTATTCCAGGAAAAATGGAACCTCAGGTTGCCCTACTTTTCTGCTCTGATGTCAAACCAATGTCTCACCAGCAGAGGGATGTTAGAAAACTTAGAAGGCTTCAAGCAGTTGTGTAAAGCCCCCTTGTGAAAAACAAACTTTGCAGGAGTCCCAGGTCCATCTATGAAATCTAAGGCTTTGACAGAGGAAGGTCAAAGGAGATGGAAAGCCGACCTGTGGATTCCATGTATACACAGAGAGAGGAGGGGATGGGGACTACTCTGGAATATAAAACTGCAAAAGTGATAAAATGATTAAAGAAAAATCTTGGTAAGTACTTGAGGTAATAGTTCCTGCCTTACAAAGTAATTCCTCAGTCGAGTTTTTGACACAGTCACAGAGAAAGCCGAGCAGCCTTCAGGATATTTTTGATGTCAGTGTACTTTCAGGAAATAAATTGCTATAGCAAAGATACCGACAAATGACATGGCGTGCTTAGACATACTGAAGTCTGACATCTGGCAGCGTGTCCGGGTCTGAATGGATAACCATCTGGAAAGAGGATGTTTTCACATCTACCT